GATTTCACTGATATTTTAGGTTCAAATAAGAAATATGGGGGGAGACCCATTAACAATAATAGAGCAGAATACCTCATTTCTAAGATTTCAAATTGTAACATTAAGGATTTAGGTTATAAAAACTGTAAATACACTTGGTCAAATCACAGACATAAAAATAAAGGTTTAATTATGGAGAGATTGGATAAAGCCCTAGGAAATGAAAAATGGTGTGACCTATTTCCAAACTATTCCATATTCATTTACCTAAAACCTACTCATACCATAATCCTATTCTAATAGAACTAATCCCTAGAAGTAGACAAAGACATATACAACCTTTCTGCTTAGAGACTTATTGGTGCAAACACCCTGATTTTCAAAATCTTGTTAAATCAAACTGGCTTGGCAATGACTATTTCATGGCCAACAATTCTTTTATACGTAGTGTTAAATCTTGGAAAAATAGAACCTTTGGAGATATAATGGAAAAAAAAAAGGAAATTAATAGCAAGGCTCCAAGGTATTCAAAATTCTAGGAACTATACTAGTAGCACCTTCCTCCAAAATCTAGAGAGTACCCTAAAGAAAGAATATAATGATATTCTCAAGATTGAAGAGGATTATTAGAAACTAAAGTCTAGAATAATGTGGCTAAACGATGAGGATGCGAATACAAAATTCTTCCACATATCTGCCTCAAATAGAAGAAGGAAAAATAAAATTACTTATTTTAAGGACGAGGCAGGAAATTGGATCAATGATCATCAATTAATCACTTCTCATATTTTAAATTACTTTACAAAAGCTTTTACATCCTCTCATACATGTACTCATTGGAAGGACTTAGAGATAACAAACTCTAGCAACACTTCAATTGACCTAAAATCCCTAGATACTCCCCTATTAGACATTGAGGTCAAGAAGTCCATATTCTCCTTCAAACCTTTCAAAGCCTCAAGGCGAGATGGACTTCACTCTTTTTTCTATCAGAAATATTGGAATAACATAGGCCAATCAGTTACTAATTTTTGCCATGATGTTTTCAATATGCAAGTAATTCCTAAGGAAATCAATAAAACATATCTTTGTCTGATTCCTAAAGTTTCAAATGCTAACAACATTAAAAACTTTCGTCATATTGGCCTTTGTAATACTATCTACAAAATTATTACCAAAATTCTTGCAAATCGTCTCAAACTTTTCCTAGACAAAATCATTAGTTTTCAAGCCAGCTTTATGAAAAATAGACAAGCCTCAGATAATGCAGTAATAATCCAAGAATTAATTTCTAATCTAAAAAGAATCAAGGGCAAACATGGCCATATGATATTAAAATAGACTTGGAAAAGACTTTTGACCGTATAGAATGGTCTTTTGTGTATCGTGCCCTTAGGTTTTTCAAATTTCCACCAAAATTCTCTAACCTACTTCTTAGTTGTATCTCATCAAGCTCTATTGCAACACTAGTTAATAGTTCTACCACAACTTTTTTTGAACCTAGCAGAGGAATTAGGCAAGGTGATCCACTATCACCTTACATTTTCATCCTTTATCTAGAGTTGCTATCTAGGTATATTGAAAACCAAATTGATATTTGCAAGTGGGATCCAACCACCATAGGAAGAAAAAGCCCTAGCTTCTCCTATTTATTTTTTGCGGATGATCTAACATTAATGGCTAAGGCAAACGAAAAATCATGTTTTGCCATTAAAATAGGTCTAGATTTATTTTGTCCCGGTCAAAATATAAACCACTCCAAGTCAAAAATTCTTTTCTCCCAAAATTGTAACCCTACCATTACAAAAAATATAATCAATACATTAGGTATTAAGAGAAGTGAAAACTTTGGTACTTACTTAGGTTTTTCGATACTAAATAAATATCCAAAGCCAACTGATTACCAGTTTATATTTGATAAAATGAGATCAAGACTTGCCTCTTGGAAAATGAGATTCATTAATATAGCCGGTAGAACCATCTGGCTCAATCATGCCTCAACTCTATTCCTAACTATTACGTGCAATATACTATTCTCCCAAAAAGGACCATTAAAATTATTGACAAAATTCAGAGGGACTTTATTTGGGGTACCAATGAGAGTAAAAAAAAACTACACGAAGTAAAATGGACAAAAGTCTATCAACCAAAGATTTCAGGGGGTCTGGACATCTATAGTGCAAATACGAAAAATTTGACTAACCTAGCTAGTCTAATTTGGAGACTTCTTACTCATGCAACCTCTCCTTGGGCAAGGCTGATTATTATTAAATATGGAGGGAGTTGTTCTAAAATAAACCATTCCTTCATCTGGAAGACCATCTTGAAGGGATGAGAATTGTGCAATAAAGGTATCACATGGTCACCCAACCTAAATTCAAACCTAAACATTTGGGATACAAGATGGATCCCAAACTCCACAAATCTAAGAAGTTTAATTGAAGGTGCCTTTAGGCCAGAAACTCACAATCTTAAAATCAAAGATATTTATACCAAATGCAAATGAGATCTTACAAAACTATCGATAGATATTCCTTCTGAAATTCAGCAAAACATCCTTAAGGTCAAAAATCGTACAAAGGGACCCTTAAATGATATTGCTATATGGTCTCTTTCATCCAAATGAACTTTTACTAGCAAAAGTTGTTATAACCTTATTGAACCAATGGATGAAAACCAGTTGGATTATGATTGGATTTGGTCTTTATCATGCCCAAATAAGATAAAATTTTTTTATGACAATGTCTCCAAAACAGGTTACTTTGTAGGAAATACCTAGCCCGGATTGGAATCAACATTGACCCTATGTGTCCTATATGCGATATGAAAGAAGAATAAACTATCATTCATATTTTTCTCACTTGCAAAATAAACAAAACGTTTTGGGACAATTTAAGATGGGTAGCTTTTTATGATCCCACAAGGGGGCACTGGCTTGCACAATTTTAAAAAAAAATCAAATTTTCACTATAAGACACAACTTTCTTGAATGGAATTATATCCTCTCTTTCGCCCTATGGGAAATTTGGATTAACAGAAATGCTAATAATCAAAATAACTTGATGAACGCTGTAAACATAAAAAATATTACTAAAAATGCTGTGGAATTCAAGCTGCTTACGGAGAATAACCCATTGCCTATTGGAAGGATTCAATTACAAATCAAGTGGCAAAGGCCCCCAAATGGATGATACAAATTAAATATTGATGCTAGTCATAACAACTGCCAAAGTTTACTAGGGGGAGTATTCCGTAATACAGTGACCCACTGGTTGTTGGATTCACAAAATAGTAGAACTAAAGGCAATAAAGGAAGGACTCAAAACTGCCCATGAGTGGGATTTATTCCCACTGAAAATAGAGACAGATTGTACGGAGGCAATTCAAATTATACAATGTGGTAATAGACTTTTTGATAATGTTGTCAATATTTGCAGGTCGTTAATGCATCAAGAGAAGGTGACCTTCCTCCAGCACACATTTAGGGAATGCAACATTGTCGCTCACACCATGGCAAGATGGGAAGGACTCCGGGAAGGAAGAAAAAAGTTTTTGTATCCCCTCCCAATGTTGTTTTTAATCTTGTTAAGTATGATGTAGACAGTGAACATTGTTTTGTTAAGTACCTATCTATGGATGCTTGCAATAGATTAACAAGCCTAGGAAATTTATGTGTTGTAAGTGGCACACTACTAGGCCATGATGTAACAAACGTTAGGTAAGTTTAATATATATATTTCCTGTTTGCTCAATTTCTTTTTAATCGTTTCCCTAGTCAATGAAGGAAATCCAAATGTTTACTTCCTCAATTGCCACTTTTATCCAAATATTTTTTAGAGTAAAGTTTTTTTCATTACAAAATCAATTCGGTATCTGGTTATGAAATGTTCTCCGCAAAAACTGGCGAAATGAGCGAACGTTAATTTTTATTGCAGATTTTCAAATTTTTATTCCATAATACTTGCTTTAGGTAATGCTTAGATACACACTATTTTCAATCTTTTATAGAACATATATTCTTATACACTACTCTCAGCCTTACATGTTAAAAACATTTTTTTTTGAAAAATATTTTCCTTTGTACCAAATGCAAATAGTAATTCTTAAACAAACAATAATATGATAAACTCTAAAGCAGTCCAAATCTTGTGACCGAATACCCAACCAATTGTGGCCCAAAGGCCCAAATGAAGCACTCATTGCAAATGTGGAGAGGGTGATAATAAGGAGTTTTTACCCCAAATGATTTCTTAAGTTAAGGGTTATGTGTATTTTCGTCTTTATAACATTGTCTTGAGAGCATATGATCTTTAACTTTGTCAAAATTGAGTATTGTTTGTCCAATTGATGAAATTCTCATTTCTCATATGAATCATTTAAAAATAACAAAGATGTTAGGTTTCTTACATGTGACTAACCTAAAAAACAACGGCAATTAGGGGTTTGTTGCCCAATTTCGTTTTTCTTTGATCAAGGTCCATTTTCATTATTAATATATTATGTTAAATTTTTCAGCAATTATTAGTAGGACTTTTATATTTTGTTTTTGTTGAAATTGGACGAAAAATAAAATTGAAAAAAAAGGTCTGAATCTCAATTATGGCCTTTTTCTTTTACCCCAATCATGTAAAAATTACGTGACATCTCCGGTGGTTTGAAGATCCGCTTAAATATTTGGTTAATTGAATAAAAAATGCTTAATTGTTTTTCAATTTAAAAGAATCTCATATTCCTTTTCATTAGAGAAATATATAATTATGGCTGCTCTAAAAAATAAGAGACAACAAAATCTATATTTTTGTATATATGTGTATTATATACATATAATATATTATATATTTTTTGGCTAGTAAATCAAATTAGTTTCGGCCGAGCAGCCAACTTTTTTTTTTTTTGGCTTTTTTTTTTTTTATTATTGTATTTGATATGTGCTAAAAGTGATACAATGAAAACAAGAGAAGGCAACTAGACATATCACCAAACTTAAAGGACTATTTGGGCCAAGAACATGAAAATTGGGGAAGACTCGTATATTCTCCAGAAAGAAGCGTAGAGACAGAAAAACGAAACCCTCGGCTCAAATCAAAAGATCTAATAGAAGGAACCGTAGAGAAACTGAAACCTAATACACAGTGGAGAGAGATTTGTGTAGCAATGGCAGAAGAGAAGAAGCAAGAACAAGCAATTGTACCACCTCCACAATACAATTTGGACGCAAAGTGGGACGCTTGTCTTGATTTGGGCGTTCGCCGTTTCGCTTACTTTTCCTTAATCGGTGGATTTGCTGGTCTTCTCCTCTTCCGTGAGTTCCTTTTTTCCCCCCCACAAACTCACAATTTTTGACTTGCCTTTATACTGTTTCTATGTGTTTTTGTTTTTCTTAGTATTGTTTGTGTGACCTAATCATTATGAAATCGGTGTTGATTGGATGAAATTGGGAAAATGCTGAAATGGGTGTTTTTTCTCATTTTCGAAATATTATAGTTTTGTGGAGTGTACCGAGATAATTGAAGCTGGAGTAAGAGCTTTTGCTTACCAGCTTCTTCTGTTATCTTATCACAGGAGTGGAAATTCTTTTATGGTATTTCCCCTCTAATACTGTTTAGTATTTTGGAAATTGGAGAAGTTTTGTTGCTTATTTTTTTTTTTGTGTGATGCGGTGATTGTGGAATTGGTATCGGAACTGAGAAATGGAAATGTGTGCGCGTGTGCACACACACACATATTGGTCTTGCATCATACTATCAATTATGATACACTTACACACGCATATATATTGGTCTTATTATATATGAATTTTGTTTCATTGGTTACTGTTTTCTTAGTTGGAAACTTCAGCTGTGCTTTTGCTTAGTTTGCTCGTGTGATGTTAGTATTGTGAAAAGTGGGATTTGGAGGCACGAAGTTGAGAAATGCCGAAATGGGTTTTTGAATTTGTGTTGTGTGGTAATGGTTAATCAGACAAGAGTATTGTCAGCCTCTTGTGCTCACTAGTATTGTCACATAACTTTGCTTGTTAAGCGTCAAAACTCCAGATGTTCTTTTGCTTAGTCTTGTGTGTGTGATCTAGTGATTGTGCCATTGTGGAAATTATGTATTGCATGGATGCTTATGGGAATGACAAAACGGGGTTTTCTTGCAATTATGTCCTATTGTTATTTAAACGAACAAACTGAGGCTGAAGTAAAAGCTTTTAGCCTGCCAGCTTTTCTGTTCACTAGTGTCACATTACATTGCTCCTTTAGCCCTTTGAAATTTGTTTTGGTAATTGGTTGGGCGAGACACAATTTCTTCACGCTGTACATGTTGTATATGTCAATGCACCTGCTTGGTGCATTCTGGTGCAATAAAAGTTATCCTTCCGCATATAAAAAGAACAAAATAAATTATACATGAGATGCAGTTTTCCAACTAAATCCTTCAATAATGAAGGTCGGAATTGAAGAATGACTTATCATTAAAAAACGTTCAGAATTGAAGTGTATGGATAGAGCAGTAACGAGCAGTGATTGTGATAAAAATAGCATTGGATGGATTATGAACTGGTTCTTATTAACTTAAATCTGTGTGGTCGTGTTGTGTTTATGAGAACTTGAAGAAGTAGTTCTTCTTCTTCAAGTTCCCATAAACACAACGTAACCATGCAGAAACAAGGCAGATGTCTGCGTAGTCTTTTTTGGTGGTCCAACCAGTCCTATGTAAATAGTTCTACTGTCTTTTTGGATTTTGTGAGCTCCCTCTCTCTAGACTAGCCATTATCATGAATGGTCTTACCAGATTTTGTATGGAGCTAGCATATCTACTTCTGTAATCTCTGTATCTTGTTGATGCCAATCAATGAAACAACTTACTTTATTCAAAAAAAAAAAAAAAGAGAGGGAGAATTTGAAGAAGTAGTTCTTGTTGAAGCTTAGCTATGTGGACAGTTTTTGGATGCAGAGACGAAAAGGGTGCTGTCAACTTGATAATGTTGTAGCTTAATAGTTGTTTTTGTAATATTGCTTGCCGTTGTCTTGATCATCAATCTCCCGTTCTGTTCTTGAAATTTTTGGTAGCTGTATATCTAGGCATTGATTTGGTCATGCTTGCAGCTTTGTTGTGGTTTTTTCAATGTGTATAATATGAATAGAGTTGTTTCTTCTTCGATGTGTTTCTCCAGGTGTTGTTCAATATTTATAACAGATAATGTAGTAAGTTGACTCATTTTCATTGATTTTATCTTAGGGAGTCCTGTGACACGCTGGGCATCAACGGCATTTGGTGCTGGGACAGGTCTAGGATCTGCATACACGGAATGCTCTCAGAAATTTGGTGGATATCCTGGAAAATTAACTGCTAATGTTTCTGAGGCTCCTATCACCAAGGTAGTACATTGCATCTATTTTTATTTCTATTTGCCAAGCTAATACGTAAGGGAAATACAAATAGGCGTGCCCATCTTTAATGATATTCAGTGAATGCTCAGTATTCTTTTCTATAAGCTGTGTAAAACTGTTCTCTTGTGGCTAGACAGAAATATTCAGGTTGGAGATGATGGTTGTGTAATTATGCTACTTTCTTTGTTTTTTCCTCCACCCTCTTGTGGGGTGAGAGGTCCCTTGTTGTGCCATTGTTTTGGGGCCAGGGAATAGTAGAAGGTAGCATTCATTGGTGCATTTTTAAAGTTTAAAGGCTTTCATTTGTTACCACTTTCTTGTTCTGTTCATGAAGCAAGATGTTAGCTTGCAATGTTGAGCTACAAAGCTATCTTATATATTTGTATAGAGATGGTTAAGATATTTGGTATTTCAGTTTAGAACTATGTATTTTAGGGTTAATTACAGTAAACTCCCCTGTAATTTGGCTCAATTGCAGATATACCTCCTTTATTTTGAAATCAAACACTCACCCCCCTACACTATTGTAATCCTACACAAATATAATGTTGTTGTCCCTCTTCATAAAAATGTTGTTATCCCTATTTTTCAGACAATTTAAACACCTTGTACGAATAACTTGTTCTGCATGTCTTCCTTGGCTGTGACAACTGATCTTGTTCTGCGATTGATAAAAGAATAATTGTTTCTAGAATAGAAATTTCAATTCTTGAAGACTGAAAACTGATTATTGTTTGGAAGTTAATCTGGGGAAGATATGTCGAATGCTACAGCCTACAAGGAATCATATGGACCGATCGTAACTGAACCATCTTTACTTTTTGGTTCTCTAATTTTCTGTATTTAGGTGATTATTACAGAGGTAGAATGATACCCCACTGTCCAAACGGTCCATAACTGTTACAGCGCTGTCATTTTCCTAGTGCCCTGTGTCAATCAGGCTCTTCATTTATTTCGTGTTATTCATGTCAAATGTTTAGTAAGTGGATATGGATATATTAGTTAGCTCCTCACAATACATTTAAACTTGGCCTACCTTTGTCCAAACTAACCTGTCCACATGAGAGGAGTACAGCCACCTTGTCCCTCAAATCCATCACAGCCACAGCCAGAATTGGCACATTTATTTTCTTGATATTAAGTAATTACAACATAACATTTTCACGTGAAGTCCGTACTGCTCCCTTATGTACTTATCAAAAAATTGTGCCCTTTATGCTAACAATTTCTTTTGTGCTCTAATTTTAATAGCCCTGAAGAATTTTAGCGATGCTGCAACAAGAATTCTGTCCCATAAGATTTTAGGCAGGTAATTGGGGTTGGTGATAGGGATAGGTGCATCGGATTTTCCCTGCCTTACACTACAAGGAGATAGTTGACAACTGATCTGGCAGCGGCATCCATTTTTGCTCCCCTTTCCTTTATGTTCCATCGTTTATATAGAATTTCCTTTTATTCCTCTCCTTCCTTTCTCAGGATCATTAAGGAAGTAGTCACCTCTCCTTCGTCCTACTTCATTTCATTGAAGTTTTGGACTAAAGTAACAACTAAAGGTGTCTTCTAGTATAAGTCCCTTTGTGATATGAGAAAAGAAACGCGCCTTGTCAAAGAAGGGAACAAAGAAACGGACAGTGTAAAGGAGGGTTAACCCGAATACTTACTTGTCTAGGGGAAAAATCCAGACATCTGTACTATTTTCCGGGGG